CACACACTGGCCCAGCTAACCGATCACAACACACACTGGCCCAGCTAACCGATCACAACACACACTGGCCCAGCTAACCGATCACAGCACACACTGGCCCAGCTAACCTATCACAGCACATTTCGTATTTCAGAAGGCGTGCTATAATTTGATACAGGAAATATTCGAGCCATTCATGCTCTCTGGGGAGAGAGGTGTTGTAATAATGTAAAATATGTTCTGCCTGTTCTAGTACACCCCCAAAACAAAACCAAGACTTTGTAAAAGAGCATAATAGGACCCCTTTAACTAAATATTGGCTAAATGCCGTTGTCTTTTCACTCATTTCTCACAGACCAATACATAATCATTATCAGTCACATTTGAAAACAGAAATGAAATGCCTTTACAACTTTTGCTTCTTTGTTGTAATATCATGTACACTACCGTTCAAAAGTTTGGGGTTGATAAGATTTTATAATGACAGTCTTTGCATTTTTTTTTTTAATAGGTATGGAAAGATTGTGTCCACCAAGGCTATTCTGGACAAAACTACCAACAAGTGCAAAGGTGGGTGAAGAGTGGCTTTATGTTCTTGAGAGAATCACTCTTTATTTCTCAATGTTTCATTTACAATGAAGTAACCTAAGCGTTTGACACAAATGTATTTGATTGTATGTATTGATTTGTGTGTGTGCGTGTGTGTGTGTGCAGGCTATGGCTTTGTGGATTTTGACAGTCCTGCAGCAGCACAGAAGGCTGTGACGATGCTCAAGGCCAGCGGGGTTCAAGCTCAGATGGCCAAGGTAGACTTTCACAGAACATAATGTCCATTCAGCACATAAACCTCTGATTGCGTTTGCGTTTGACGCTTCAGCAGCGTGCAGGTCATGTCTAGAAATGTTGATCCTCAGACCTCTGTCTCTAACGACATGTTTCCGTTCCAGCAGTTCAGCCCTAATAAATCACTGTGCCTCGATTGTCTCCATGCGTTCGCGCCACAGCGCTGCAGTTGAGACCGGACCAGAAATCAACGTAAAACAGTTTGCAAATAAGACTTGCAGCCCACAGCCTCAGGCCGTGTTTTGTTAATGTTGTTTTATATACTCGACCAGAAACACACACCAACTCATGTTCACTTCTGTTATTTTCATAGAAAGTCTAGTATTATTATTTTTGACTCAAAGTGAAACCTTTGCACAAAATTAAAAAGAAAACAAAACTTTTTATATACAAAATTAAAAATAGGATAGTAAAACGTATATACTTATCCCAAACCTCTTTAGCTTACTTTTCATAGATTTACACTTTTATTGAGAAATTGTGCATCAAATTAAAAGTGACCGTAAAGATTATTATAAATGTATAATATTGCAAACATTTCTATTTCAAATAAATGCTATTCTTTTTAATTTTATGTTCATTAAAGAATACTGGAAAAAAAAGTATAACGGTTTCCACAAATAATATTAAACCGCAAAAACAACATTGATAATAATCAGAAATGTTTCTTGAGCAGTAAATCAGCATATTAGAATGATTTCTGAAGATCATGTGACACTGAAGACTGCAGTAATGATGCTGAAAATACAGCTTTAATCACAGGAATAAATTACATTTTAATTTATTTAATATACAGTTATTTTAAATTGTGATAGTATTTCACTGTATTACTTTTTTTTACTATAAAATAAATGTAGTCTTGGTGATCTTGCTATATCAGTAACTCCACATTTGAACAGTCAATAGCAAATACTTAAACTAATAACAAAACAAATAACAAATACTTACAGTCGCTGATTCAGAAGCGCCAGATTGTCATAGCAAAGTCAGAATTGACCCTTTTTTTTTTTTTAGAAATAGCCTTTGTGCACAGCCAGCCTTGTACTCTTCTAGGTTCAAAAAACTGTCGTCCATAAAACGCGTTGCACAAATTGGAACATCTGGGTTGTGCTGTTCTGTTGTAAATAAATCTTAACCAATGATTCCTAATTGCATCTACTTCCGGAAGGCCAAATAAAGTGCTTTTTCTTTCGCACTGAAACACAGCATCTCCCTGACATGCTGCATCAACACTAACTGCGGTTCCTGAAACCACGCCTTCTTTCTTTGCGTGAACATTTGGGGCGGCATCATGCTAATATTTCCACATCGTGACGTAGACATGTGGGGGCGTGTTAGGACGAGCCGTTTTAGGTAGGTGTGGTTGACTCTTAATTTATAAAGAATATCTCTTTGGATTTGAGACTTTAGTCTTTGCAACTTTACAGATCTTCTTTATGCACCAAGAGCTTGTAACACTCCAAAGAGGAAGGAAAACTTGAAATCGCATCTTATGACCCCTTTAAAATAAAGTGCAGTCAAACAAACTGACCCATTTGTCATCTCTCTCTGCTAGCAATTTTAATAAACTACTCCTGTTTAATTGTTTTATGTTAACTATAAAACACAATGGATGCCGACTAATAGAATACATTCTGGTTATGCCATAATACACAATAATGCATCACTGCACAGCTCCCATAGAGGCCTGTTTACACGAGTTCATGTTCGGAATGGAATAGCTACTTAGTATCATTCTAGCAACTTAGTGAACAATGCCTGTTACCTATTAAAGGGGTCATATGATGTTGCTAAAAAGAACATTATGTTGTGTATTTGGTGTAATGCAATGTGTTTATGCGGTTTAAGGTTAAAAAAACACATTTTACACGTTGCGTTGCGTTGCGTATCGTGCTGCGTAAACATAAAACCATGTCTGCATTTATGATCAGAGAAATGACAAACAACAAGCACTACTCTACACTGCTCAAAACTCGCGTTTGAATCGTCAGTGGCAAATCCTTCAAATATAAAAAAACATACTTACAGTCCGTGAGTCAGAACAGCCGGCATTGTAGTCTACTCTCCCAGGATCAGGAAACAGTCCTCCATAAAATGCACTGCACACAAATTAATATTGGTGTTAAAGTGTTCTGGAACAGTGTTGTAAATACAACTTAACCACTGATTTCTAGTCGTGTCCTCTTTTGGAAGAACAAAGTAGTTTCGCTTTCACAACGAAACACACAGCGTCACACACGGCATGGTGGCAGCAACAATACTACAGCGAGAATAAAAGTTACGCCTTCTTTCTTTGCGTGAACATTTGGGGGGCGTTATGCAAATCTTCCCACATTGTGACGTAGGCATGTGGGGGCGTGTTTAAATGGGGCATTTTAGGGGGGCGTGGACGAGTCTTAACTTTCATAAAGAATATATCTTTGGTTTTGAGACTTTAGTCTTTGCAACTTCAGGGATCTTATCTATTCACGAACAGCTTGTAACACTCCAAAGAGAAAGGAAAACTTGAAATCGCATCATATGACACCTTTAAAAAAATACTAAGCAGTAAACATTTCCAGCAGAACTGCGCTACATTGTGACGAGGTCTAAGTACTACACGCCTTCTGTTAGCAAGTTAAAGGCCTTTTTATGTAATATGAAAATTAAAAAATTTAATGAAAAATCATGTTCAGATATGACCATCTGGCTTTTGAGGAACATTTGTTTGTTCGTCTCTCAATCATCACTGTATTGCATTACATTAAGGCCTATGTTTTAAAACTACAGAGCTTTAATCATAAAACTAAGCATTGAAATATCATCTTACTAAGACATATGTGTCCCTGGAGCACAAAAGCAGTCTTAAGTCGCTGGGGTATATTTGTTGCAATAGCCAAAAATACATTGTATGGGTCAAAATTATTGATTTTTCTTGTATGCCCAAACATCATTAGGATATTAAGTAAAGATCATGTTCCATGAAGATATTTAGTAAACTTCCTACCGTAATTATATCGAAACTTAATTTTTGATTAGTAATATGCATTGCTAAGAACTTCATTTGGACAACTTTAAAGATAATTTTCTCAATATTTCGATTTTTTTGCACCCTCAGATTCCAGATTTCCAAATATTATCCTATCCTAACAAACCATACATCAATGGAGAGCTTATCTATTCAGCTTTCAGATGATGTATAAATTGAAAAGTTGACCCTTATGACTGGTTTTGTGGTCCAGGGTCACATATGTATGTTTCTTAAACATGCTAATAGTGTGAGGAATGAAGGAAAAGGTCAAATTGCTACTGTAATCTTATCACTCTGAAAAGTCGAAAAGACTATTCTATGAAATATTTTACCGATTGAAAAGTGCAGTCAATCAGATTTATGTTACGTGCTTATTTCTAGCAACAGGAACAGGACCCTACCAACCTGTACATCTCTAACCTGCCCGTGTCCATGGACGAGCAGGAGCTGGAGGCCATGCTCAAGTCCTTCGGCCAGGTGATTTCCACACGGATCTTACGGGATGCCAACGGAACCAGCAGAGGAGTAGGATTTGCAAGGTACTTTATTAATCACTATAATCACATCTATAAAACCGGGTGTGGAGGAACTTGAATTTACTGATGTTTGTGATTTGGTATTTTGACCCGAGCTCCATCTCTCTCTCTCTCTCTCTATATATATATATATATATATATATCAACTTTTCCTACCTTTTTAATTGTTTATTAATGTCTTTGTATAACAGGATGGAATCCACAGAGAAATGTGAAGCCATCATTCAGCATTTTAATGGAAAGTATATCAAAACCCCACCTGGAGTGCCAGGTAGATGATTGTTTCTTTTATATAAATTCCAATGAAAGAATTCATTATTTATTATGGAACAATAAAATATATTAATAACCTCTTGCTTCTTACGCTTCACCTGTAGTACCTACAGAACCGTTGTTATGCAAGTTTGCTGACGGAGGACAAAAGAAGCGACTGAACCAGGCAAAGTACCTACAGAACGGTCGAGCCTGGCCTAGAGATGGTGAAACGGTATGAGAGCTCTCTTTCTGGACTCTGACAGAGTGCTTACCTTGCACATTTTATATCAAATTGTCATTTTTTCCTTTCCACGTTCAGGGAGGAATGACGCTCACGTACGACCCAACGGCCTTACAGAACGGGTGAGCGCAGAGAGACATCCTGGTTTCATGTGTCTCGTTTTTAGAGTGCTTCAGATCAGTATTTAAAGTTATATTCTTGTTCGTGATTCTGGTTCTCGCGCATCAATCAAACACATTTGAGCTTCTGTTTACCTTATTTGATGTGTTTTATATATGTGCGTAGATCAATGTTAAGCCTAAATTAAATCTGTTCATCATATAAAGCAATCGTGTTGCCTCAGAAGACTTGGATTAAACCGCTGGATTCATATGGATTACTTTCGTGATCTCTTTATGAACGTTTTCAAGCATCAATGTTTTGGTTGCATGGACTTTCATTCTCTCAGGTTTCATTAAAAATATTTTAATTTGTGTTTTCAAAGTCTATTGAAAATCTCATGGGTTTGGAGTGACAGCATGAGGGTGTTTGGATGATGACAGAATAACTGTCCCTTTAAAGGGGTCGTATGATGCGATTTCAAGTTTTTCTTTCTCTTTGGAGTGTTACAAGCTGATTGTGCATAGATAAGATCCCTGAAGTTGCAAAGACTAAAGTATCAAAACCAAAGAGATATTCTTTATCAAAGTTAAGGCTCGGCCACGCCCCCCTAAAACGGCTCGTTCTAACACGCCCCCACATATCTACCTCACTATGTGGAAATATTAGCATAATGCTGCCCAAATGTGCACGCAGAGAAAGAAGGTGTGGTTTCAGTAACCGCAGTTAGTGTTGAAGCAGCATGTCAGGGAGACGCTGTGTGTTTCTAGGTGAAAGCAAAAGCACTTTATTTGGCCTTCCGAAAGTAGATGCATTTAGGAATCTTTAAGATCACTTACAACAGAACAGCAATGCATTTTATGGACGACCGTTTCATGAACCTAGGAGAGGAGGTCATTCTGACTTTGCTATGACAATCTGGCGCTTCTGAATCAGCTACTGTTTTGTTATTAGTTCAAGTATTTGCTATTGACTGTTCAAATGCGGAGTTTTGCGCATCGTGTGTGTGTGTGTGCATGCATGCGTGCGCGCGCATGTGTGTGTGAGAGAGAGAGAGAGAGAGAGAGAGAGAGAGGGGGTCACATCACAGGGGAGTCAGCTGACTTAACCGTGGCTTGTGTACTGCAAACACATACCAGCTTCATCACTGTGTCTGTCACGCGACTCTGTTCCCCTTTCTGGTTCTGTCTTTACATTTATTTTGAAAGATGAAGCTCGCGATTATGGTAAGGGGCGTTACATTTCCGACGGGTGCTTGCGGTGTTCGGTCAATCACAATGCACTGGGTCAGCTGGCCAATCAGAGCAGACTGTGCTTGTCGGAAGGAGGGGACTTTGTAGAAAACGAAGCGTTTGAGAGAGGGCCTACAATAATGTACAGTATTTGAAAAATAATGTGTTTTTGAACATTAAAGCATGTCAACATATTCTGTTACACCAAATACACAAAATAATGTTCTTTTAAAAAGCATCATATGACCCCTTTAAGACTTAAATTACGCAAAAAATGGTGTTCTTCAAAATAACCCTCAATGGCTTTTTAAATGAACATGTAATGTCACTTCACTTCTTACTGTTTTGCTTATTATTTTCAGGTTTTATTCTTCTCCGTACAGCATCGCTCCAAACCGAATGATCGCTCAGACCTCTCTGTCTCCATACATGCCCTCACAAGTACCATCCTACCAGGCGAGTATCATTACGATAATGATATCAATTTTATGCGTGTCATAATTTTATGTTCTGTATACACACAGTGATACAGCACTGCTTTCACCCAACATTATTGCGCAACATATTCACACAATATTATTGGAGTTATATTAAGTAAGTTTTCAGTCTTGTGACTGGAGCAGAAACATCAGTATAACTGCAGCACAGGCCTGTCAATTTTACATTTGCTTCAAGCCATGAATGCTTAGATCATCTCTCAAAAGAAAAAACCAATGTGAACAAACTGCAAGTTTTGGGCACTTGCGATTCATTTATATATCAATATCAATTGTGAAAAACAATGAAACATTATAAAACACTTAATGTGGCTTAATGTACTAAGACAGTGATTTCTGGGGCATATCTGCTTGCCTGTACATAGTATGTCTTATTAATAAGGTGTGGACTATATATTGGTCCTCCAATATCACTTACTTAATGCTTTTAGCAATATGAAGCATTTTCTTTATAGTTGTTTTCTATAGGAGAATGTTTAATGAGGAGTTTAGTGCATTGCGCTCATATTCCGTGCAAACTCCTCACCTTTTGTTGAAAACTCACCTTATTGAGATCAAAATATGTCACCTACGAGATTTTTTTGGCGGAGGGCTTTTTACAGTACCATTTGTACCAATTCAGTTCTGTACCCACTTGTAGTCAACCGCTTTAAAACGCTCCTGTGTGGTTTTGCGTGCGCTCTGGTTTCGAATTACAAAACCACAAGTTTATTTCCAACGTGTTTTTGCAGCGATGAGTATTGTAGCCAATCACAGGCATCTCTGTTGAAAGCAATGGCCGGTCAGAGGTGTTTTCTGTAGGTTAGTCAGAATCCCCTCTGAACACGCTCGCAGATCTACCTATTATAACGAGAGAGAGAGAGAACAAAGCATACACACGGTGTAATTTAGAGATTGATTATATCAGGAGTTTTTGCGTGAGTATGCTCACTCCGTTGCGCTATAAGAGGAGCCCTTTTCTGGATTTGAAGAAAAGTTTTGGTTGTCTGATTCAGGAGTGACAAACGCGAGTGTAAAAATGAGTGAATGAGTTCAAGATAAAACTTAAAACACTCTCATTTGCAATGTGTCCTTTTTAAGGCAGTTTAAAAAATGCAGTTTTTAAATTAAATATAAAAATATTTCAAAATATGTAATGCATTATTATTTATTTGTACTTGCTATACTTCAGTACAGTACTAAAATTCGCTATAATAGTCATTTTATACTAAATTCAAAATCAAGACGTGAAAACTAGGAAGTGGAAATGGCAACTGAGCTAATGAGTGATTCTCTGCTGCCATCTACTGGATATAATGCTAATTTCATGTATTTGTCATCTTAAAAGTCTTTGTTTTCCACCAGGATTTTTGGCACATTTTTTCAAGTCATCTCCATGAATGAAACGTGAATCTTTAAAGTGAATTTTACTGCACAACTGTAGAGTTAAAAAAATAATAATAAAGGCTTTAAAATATTGTATAAGTGTTTAAAAAATGTATGTGTGTGTGGGGTGGGGGTCTATATCACCTTTCACTCATGATGAGTTTGCATCCCTGTACTTGCATGTACAGTATATAGTTTGCATAATTGTGTACTAAATTCAGTCACTGTTTTAGTACATTCCCACTTATTACAAATCTGGTAAAACTGTTTGTGGGCAGCAGAAGATAGCCTTGTTTTGCCCCTCAGGTGGACGTTCATATAATGGTGTGACGTCATGTGAAAACTATGAGATGTCTATACTGGGACTCCTTGACTACATATGGTTCAAAAACATCATGTTTCATTGTCAAATTTCAGCTATTGTAGGCAGAAATGTATTGGACTTGAGTTTAGTCTCCTCAGCTTGAGTTATAATGGTTGACTGAAATGCTTTACTACAGCAAAACCGTTTCGCTCATTAGTTTTACAATTCCATGTCTTTAAACAGACTTACTTGTTTGTAGTTTCTAATTACCCATTTCTGTGTGTTATTAGGAAACTTTAGGTCAATCCAGACTACGTTTCATTTTTGTTGTGATAGTGAGCTCAAGCTGAGTGTGTGCCAAAGCCGGCAGCGGTCGGATGGAAACACCGAGTGACTCACAGCATGTGTTCAGTGAGAATATTAGACCGCAGTGACTCAGCTGAGCTGGGGCTTGTGGGAACTCTGACACCTTATTGAGTGCTGATGGATGAACAGGCAAAAGCAAATAATGTACACTGAGATCCTGTAGGTCTGGCACGTGTGCTCAGAAGGCACTGAACGGCCCATTAGAGCTGGATTGCTGAGTAATGACGCTACGGCTCAGTCTGCTAGCGCCTAACGTTTGTCTATATGAAGACTGTTGAGCACATTAAATACTTAACAGAGTAGCTCATCCAACAATGAAAGTCATCATCAGTTATTAAACTTTTAGAACATATAAAAGTTTGGAGTTGGTGAGATTTTGTACGTTTTTAAAGTCTCTTCTGCTTTTCAAGGCTGTATTTATTTGATCAAAAATACCGTAAAAACGATATCTCTATTTGAATATATTTTTAAATGTAATTTATTCCTGTGGTCAACGCTGAATTTTCAGCATCATTACTCCAGTCTCCAGTCAGTGTCATGTGATCCTTCAGAAATCATTCTAATATGCTGATTTGCTGAGAAAGAAACATTTCAGATTTTTTTAATTAATAGAAAGTTCAAAAGAACAACATTTGTTTGAAATGGAAATCTTTTGTAGCATTATAAACATTTGTACTGTTCAATTTTATGCATCCTTGATGAATAAAACTATTACATTTCTTTCCAAATATATCTTAAAGACCTCAAATGTGACCACAAACCAGTCACAAGGGTCAATTTTTGGAAATTGAAATTCATACATCAGCTGAAAGCTGAATAAATAACAAGCTCTCCATTGATGTATGGTTTGTTATGATAGGACAATATTTGGCTGAGTTGCAACTATTTGAAAATCTGGAATCTGAGGGTGCAAAAAAATCTAAATATTGAGAAAATCATCTTTAAAGTTGTCCAAATGAAGTTCTTAGCAATGCACATTACTAATCACAAATTAAGTTTTGATATTTAGAGTAAGAAATGTACAAAATATCTTCATGGAACATGATCTTTACTTGATATCCTAATGATTTTTGGCATAAAAGAAAAATCTGTAATTTTGACCCATACAATGTATTTTTGGCCAGGTTCTTCAGGTTCACAAATTTTTTAAATGTACTGTATAAATCACCTTTAAAGGCTATGCAAACAGGACAGATGCAAACCCCGTCCTGTTCCAGTGACCATCAGCATCTGGTGTCAGATGAGCAGCATATGGACCCAAACGCACGTTGGGATAGCTAGTTAAAATTGGCTGCTATGGTACAATATTTTGCTAGTGCCCGCACTGTGATTTTGGATTCGGAGAAATTTAAAAATTTCAGCCGAAACCAAAAATGAAAGGTAAATGTAACGCAATGTGACATTACACAAGCTATTTGACGTCCTCTGTGGATGAAGCACTGATTGAGCTGATTGACATGAGATGCGATACAGTAAGTAGATTTAAGGATTTAAGAATCCTTGTAAGTATCGGTTAAAAAAGATAAATCAATATTGATAAATCATCCAGCTATAAGCAGACAGGATCCCTGTAGTTTATCCACAGTGTCCTCGACATTCAAAACACGCCACTGGAGAAACGTTTAATTCAGTCAATGATTTTGTTTCTCCAAAATGATTTCTATTTAGAAGGGTTTCGGTTGATTGATATGCAGTGTTTCTGTCTCTGTCCTCAGGTGCACAGCCCGTCCTGGATGCATCATCAGTCGTACCTCATGCAACCCACCGTGAGTGCTCAGATATCGTTTTGTAGGGTTTGATGTCGAACTGTAGCTTTACTCTACTTCACATAAAAGTTTCCATGCAGCTGGTGTTTTTTTCTATATTAACTATAATAGCAAAAGAAGCACTATGTTGATTCAGACTCCCATGAGGTTTGGATATCTAGCAATGACCGCTGGTTTCTGGGTTTCTGTGCATCTCTCTCTCCGCAGGGGGCCGTTCTGACTCCAGCTATGGATCACACGATGTCCATTCAGCCCACGTCTATGATCGGACCCCTGACCCAGCAGCTCAGTCACCTGTCGCTCGGCAGCGCTGGCACGGTTGGTGGCCTATTACCATCAATTTAGTTCCTCCTAGAACCTAATTACCATCAAAACGTGATGGAAAGTATTATAAGTATGACCAGTTGCTGTATTTATTTTGCCCCACAGTATATACCTAACGCAGCTATGCAAGGAGCGTATATGCCTCAGTACACCCCAGTGCCTCCCTCTACTGTTACATTAGAGGTATGATGAGCCTTGGTCTGCACACGGCGCTTTGAATGCTGAACAGGGTCGTGGGCAAGATTTGATGCATTCTCATTCTTTGTCACGTAGGAAAACAGTGGACAGCAGCAGGTTTCCATGGAGACGCCTTCAGAGCACACTAATTATTCCTATCAACACAGCAAATGAAGCTACGGTAAGACCAGAAATGAAAGATGTGCTGTCTGTCAGATGGCAGGTTTGGCACTGTGCCTTTATCTTTCAGATGCAGCCAGCTTGCATATAACGTTGGTAAACTATTCAGAGAACAGCTGTATACATTTACATGTTTTATTATAAGCTGTTTTTGAGTCAAAACCAACTTAGTGTTGATAATAAATGCTGCAGTATACTATATTATGCTATACTGTACGACAGTATGTGTCGTGTAATTATGCTTGTAGTTTTGTAGAACATTTTCTCTAAAATTCCTTTAAAATTACACGTCGTTCAAAAGTCTGGGATCAGTAAGATTTTGAATGTTTTTAATGGAGTCTTTTATGATCATCAAGGCTGTATTTATTTGATCAAAGATACAGAAAAAACAGTAATATTGTGAAATATTATTGCAATTTCTAATATTGGTTTAATATACTTTAAGATATCATTTATTCCTGTATTACTAATGCTTACCTAATGATTCATTGCGTGCAGTTATTATAAAGTGTTACCAAATTATGTTGTCAGTGCCCTACAAATGAACTGGTTCTAGGATTTTCTGTATTTCTGTAATTTTCAGCATCATTACTGCAGTCTTCAGTGTCACATGATCCTTCAGAAATCATTCTGATATCCTGATTTATTATCAGTGTTGAAACTGTTGTGCTGCTTAATGTTTCTGTGAACCTGTGATACTTTTTTCTTTGACTCTTTGATGAACAAAAAGTTTAAAAAAGAACAGCATTTATTCAAAATAGAAATCTTTTCTCACAATATAAGTCTTTACTATCACTTTTTATCCAGTTAACACATCCTTCCTGAATGAAAGTATTAATTTCTTTAAAAAAAGAAGAAAGAAAAAATTTACCGACCCCAAAATTTGGAATAGTACTTTATATTATAACACAAAATTTCGATTTTGAATAAGCACTGTTCTTTTTAACTTTTTAGTTATCAAAGAATCCTGGAAAAAGTATCACAGGTCCCAAAAAAATATTAAAAATTGATTGTAAATCAACATATTAGAATGATTTCTGAAGGATCATGTGACACTGAAGACTGGAGTAATGCTGCTGAAAATTCAGCGCTGCATCACAGGAATAAATAATATTTTAAAATATATTAAAATAGAAAACTGTTATTTTAAATTGCAATAATATTTCACAAAATTACAGTTTTTTTTTTTCATTTTATGAAATATATACAGCTTTAATGAGCATAAAAAACTTCTTTAAAAACATAAAAAATCTTACTGATCCTAAACTTTTGAACGGCAGTGTAATTATAAATTAAATTGTTACCAAAATTATTAATTTCAGTGCTCAGGAAAAAAAAAAAAAAGTGTTGTTATTGATAATGACAGAACTACAGCACAGTTCTTCACAGATCTTCATAAAGATGTTTTCTAATTAAATCTCCTGTAGTTTCATTCCAGAGAAGCCCTGTGACCGCCCGCCCAGTGCATTAACCAAATGCTGCTTGAATTGCGCAAAACCTCACCATTCCAGAATGCATTCAGAGCATCTGTCACATTTCCTCGATCAAATTAAGCCAAGAAAAGTTCACCCCAAAATTATAATTTGCTTAAAAGGTACTCACCCTTAGGCCATCCAAGATGTAGATGAGTTTGCCCCTTCATCAGAACAGATTTGGAGAAATGTAGCATTACATGGATGCTCTGCAGTGAATGGGTGCCGTCAGAATGAGAGTCCAAACAGCTGATGAAAACATCACAATAATCCACAGCACTTCAGTCCATCCAGCAAAGTGTAAAAAGCAATGCTGATTTAGAAAAGGGTAAGGCAAACACAATGTGTTCTTTTATGCACGTAATGGCAAATTCTTATTTTTAAGAACTAATTCTTTAATATGGAAACGTTAAAAATGAGTCTTTTGTTTGTAAAATATGCAACTTTTTTTAAAAAGATTTTAAGACTTTTTTTTTCTTCAGTCAGCAGCAGTAAAATATTTTTGTACAGCGTAATATGCAAAGTGCTTTTTGTTTGTCCTGTTTTTGAATTTGTAGTTTGATATTTAGGTGAAAAAAACCATTTAAAGCCACTTCTTCATGCTGCACCATTTTAAGAATCTTCCAAGAAATAGTGATGAAATCACTCGAATTCAATCTTCACTTCTCTGAAAGCAACAGACAATCATTAACTTATTATTTATTACAAAGTTTGGTGCATAGCAAGGCAATAAAGCTTTGTCTTTCAAGTTCATATGGCATATTAGCGATTCTCCAGTTATGTGCGCTTTCTTTTTAATTAGTAACGAATCCGAATTGTATGGTTTTAAGGTGTTTTATGAGGGGCATTTTAAATCGAATGATTACCCGTGAAACAGTTTGTGCCTAACGTTAGTGTTCAGGATCAATTCCTTTTTATTTAAAATGTAAAAAAAGATTTTAGAAACTATTTTCAAATTCTGGATCCTCTTGATACTGTAGCTGAAATGAGAGATAGGACTGATTTAGTCTTTTTCAGGTTTCTGAAAGTGTGCATGGGAATCACAGTACAGGAGTCTCGAGGAAGTGACTTTAAGTGGTTTGTTAATATCAAAAATAGTTCATAAAAGTGATAACACATGACTTGATGAAGTTTCTCAATACCACACTGCTATAACTCGGCATATTTTTCTTCATGCTGTAGTAAAGCAGATATGTGTCAGTCTGGTTTGAAGACTTGAAAGAAAGCTTCACTTTTGTTTTTAACAGTATAAATCAATCCATCAAACACATGCAGTAGGAGAATAATATAATCATGAAAAGGGAAGAAAATCAAGGCATTTGGTTATGCAGTTTATATATATATATATATATCAGTTTTGTAGATTATGAACAAAAAAAAAGTAACAGTGTACCTTTAATTTTTTGTTTGTCTTAACTTTCTACAATGAAGTTTATTTTTACTACCGTATTGACTTTTTTTTCTTTATTTAAAGGAATAGTTCACCCAAAAAACAAAAAAAATGTTGTGAAATTTAGCATTACATGCAGTGAATGGGTGCCGTCAGGATGAGTCCAAACAGCTGATACAAGCATCACAATAATCCTCAAGTAATCCAGTCCATCAATGAACAGCTTGTGAGAAAAGCTATGTGTATCAAGATGTTTTTAACTACGAACCGTTGCTTCCAGCTGAAATATGAGTCCATAATCCATAATTTTGCTTTCTCCAGTTAAAGTCTCATATAAACAAGGACTGAAATCTGCACAGATCAAGCACCATTTACAAGCGGAAACAAATATGTGGGTGGATTTTAATGTGAAAGGAAAACAGGGCATGGACTTTTTCTTTTTACTGGAGGAAGCGTTATTTAAAGTGATGGACTGGTATTTTGGTTGGAAGCATTGGTTTGAAGTTGAAAACTTTTTAATGCTGGATTTGTTTCAGCTTTTGTCTTCTCCAGATGTTAACTGATGGACTGGAGTGCTGTGGATTATTGTGATGTTTTTATCAGCTCTCATTCTGACGGCACCCATTCACTGCAGAGCATCCACTGCTGAGACACTGATGCTACATTTCTCCAGATGTGTTCCCATGAAGAAACTCCTCTACATCTTAGTTTTATTTTTCGGATGTTTGGTAAAACAAGACTAAAAAGGGCGTTTAGCACACTGATGTTTTGCAGTGTGTCACGGCGACGCGTCCTCGTCAGGTTGTGTGTTACCGTGGCTTTGGTTCTGTACAGTGCAGAGATTTGTAGAAATATCTTTCAAACGGTGCAGGGGTTATACACGAGACATGTATAGCAGGAAAAACTATTATATGGAGCAGACGGTTAGGATCGAGAAGGACAGAAGCAGTTCTTCAGCGTGTGTAGTCGCTTTCTTCCTTCATGCTGCTGGGTTTTTTTTTTTAAAGATTTGTTGAGATTTGCTGTAGTGTTTGGGCAAAGCTTTACTTTCTGGAAACTTTTTAGATGATGAATTCGTTTGGTTGTGTGTATTGGTTGCTGTTCCTTTTTGAAATCCCAGATTAATAGGATTTTTTAAAAATGTTTGTGTGCAAAGGAAAGACATTTTCTTGAGTTTCTTTTATGTTCTTCTCTGTGCTGTTTGTTGTTTTACTTGAAATGTACTGTCTTGGTCAATCATAATGATGCACTTCTAAAAGAATTTGAATATCCAACATTTTTGATATCATTGATGAAAAAAAAATCAGTGTTCACTCATGAGTTGTTTTTGTACACTAAAGCTGGGTTTTTTTTTTAAAGATTTGTTGAGATTTGCTGTAGTGTTTGGGCAAAGCTTTACTTTCTGGAAACTTTTTAGATGATGCATTCGTTTGGTTGTGTGTATTGGTTGCTGTTCCTTTTTGAAATCCCAGATTAATAGGATTTTTTAAAAATGTTTGTGTGCAAAGGAAAGACATTTTCTTGAGTTTCTTTTATGTTCTTCTCTGTGCTGTTTGTTGTTTTACTTGAAATGTACTGTCTTGGTCAATCATAATGATGCACTTCTAAAAGAATTTGAATATCCAACATTTTTGATATCATTGATGAAAAAAAAATCAGTGTTCACTCATGAGTTGTTTTTGTACACTAAAGCATACCAATATGTGTAATAAATGTCTTTACACTCTTAAAAATAAAGGTGCTTCTCGATGCCATAGTAGAACCTTTTTGTCTAAATGGTTCCATACAGAACCTTTAACATCTGAAGAACCTTTCTGTTTCACAAAAGCTTCTTTGTAGCGAAAGAAGGTTCCTCAGATTATAAAAAAGTAAGAAAGAGATGGTTCTTGACTGAATGGTTCTTTGTGGAACCAAAAATGGTTCATCGCTGTGAAGAACCTTCTAAGCACCTTTATTTTTAAGAGTGTAGAAAGATTCGCTCTTCTCTAGGATAGAAACACAAGGGCTTATATATTATAGAACACTAAAGACACGTGATGCAGTTGTTACTTCCTTCCTTCGTTTGAGGGCTTCCCCTTGGTGCATTTTACATTTTATGAATGTAAAGCCATGACCTTGATCCGAAAACTATGAAATGGTTTTCATTAAGAGACTCTTCTCCATCCATAAAAAGAGCTGCTAGCTTGATCACCTTCTAGGATAGTTTGACATTACATTCAAAGAAGTTGTGTTATTGAAACTGATCAATACCTCTTTAACAGTTTACCATCTACTCAGGCTGAAATTCAAACTATTGGCAGTCTTGGGAATCTTTGTGATACACTTGTCTTCAGATTCCCAAAGAAGGGATTCGTTCCGGCTACCAAAGAGTAAGACATGCCTATAGAGTATGACAGCAATCCCAATCGTTTTCTACTGATGAGTTTGTTGGTCACCTTTTGTAAAATCATCCTTTTCAGTGTGATTTTACTGTCGATGTTTTAAGTCAAATCTTCTGTACTAAAGTTATCTCTCAAGTTTATACCATGCAGTTCACCTCATGAAGGAAAATGGGATTGATTTTGGTTATCAAACCAAAACCAATTATCAATCGTTTCATCCATTATTAACACAAAACATTAAACATGGTTTTGAAACTATGAAATGCGTTGGCTTTTATTCAGATCGATTACATATATCTACATTATTATCAATTATCTACCATTTCCAACAGCTGGGATGATGCTGAATGTGAAAGTCAGTACTCTGTTCTCATCGCTCAGTTCAGATTTTCAAAGAAGAGCTGCTAATTGTTTCAAGAGCTCATTTCATAGTTTCAAAATGTATTGCTGCTAACATGGGGTGTTCAAGCTGTTCACCAGATAAAGCCATAAACCACAGAACCATTTCAAGTTATTGTAGCGAAGCTGTAATCCAAGTGCCTCAAGAAATGAACTGTGTTGAGTTGCTTTGGGTCGGTAGACAGCATCAAGATGTCTAGAGATGATGGGAAGTTGTACAGAATCAATACTGTATGTTTGTGATGCTGATGTTGTGATTATTGAACAAGTGGCTTGTCTCTTGAACAGCTTTTTAAAACATTCTTTATTTATACAATATCACATTTTGAACAGGTGTCTGAAGAAACAGTTTGGTTGCATGTTAACCGGAGCTTCTAGCCGGAAATTTGTCTTCCTGTGACAGTTTCTGATTTTCTGTTCCTTTTTTTTATTTTTTATTTTTTTTAAAGAAACACTACAACAACAACAAAAATGTTCTTCTGTTTTTGTTTGTGCCTTTTTTTAACTGATCTCTTGAATTCCATTTTTTTAAATAAAATCTTGTTTGTATTTTGTTGGTTTATTTACTTTTTCAGTTATTCCAAAGTCTCTAGACAAGGCATGTCACTCGGCGGCCATCTTTGAAACGCCGCTCGGGCATGCAAGCGCAGCTTCTATCTCTTTGTATGGGGAAACATCAAATTCTCCAAAACTGTTCACTAGATTAAATCTTATATTTGAAATCACCAAAGACATCTGACAACAACTGTGTCATAAATGTTGTTTCTTTTGCTCAAATAGCCTTATAAAAAGCTTATTTTTCAGGCTAGATCAGCCAGTGCGCATGCGCACGTCTCAGAGCGCTGACTGTTTCTATAGCAACCGGGACTTCTAACGGCAGCTGCAGTAGGCGCGTTTCCATTACAGATTTGCGCAAAACTTAGGCGATATTTTATAAATGTCGATAAAAAAGTATTGCGAAATGA